CATTGTTCGTCTGGAATATGATGTACAGGTGTATTTGTAGCTTTAATTATGTTAATTATTACATTTTTGAATATAACTCTTACTTTTTTAAATTTATTCATAAAACACGAATCAATAGAAATTCGAAAGATGGGATCAGTTGCCAAAGATGAGTAAATATTCTCTGTCGACCGGGTACTCCCGCCATGAGCCCTATGATTGATCAGATAATCGAATTCTTCCTTAGTCAGTAGAAAAGAAAGACATAGCAAAGGACATGAATCAGGTCAGTCAAAATTAGCTGCAGCTAGATCTGTAGCGTTATGGTTTTATATATTATTTTGTCTTTGACCATAACGCTACAGATCCCTTAATGCAAAAAGGTGCAATTTACTATCTAGCATTGGTCAATCAACTACCTTTCACTCCCTAACTCTAGACACATTCTGTAGCCAATTTGTATATTTTATCTTAATCTACCTCACAACCATTTATAGTTATCTCTATACAGGCAATAAACTCGCTTGAAGTGAATTTTCAGCAATCTAACAAATAATTTTAATCAAGCGAGTTTATCACTTATAGAGACGACTATAAAAGAATTGGAGATGGATAAAATATACAGATTTATAGTGAAATAATGTGCCCAGAATTAGGGAGTGAAAGGTAGTTGATTGACCAATGCTAGATAGTGGAGAAATTCTCCCCAAAAGTGCGCAAAAAATATTGCGCCGTAATTTGCACCTATTTTTGCATTACGGGATCAAAGACAAAATAATATATAAAACCATAACGTTACAGATCTGCAGCTAAGTTAAAATACGATCGAAGTACTAGTATAGGCTAAAGTTGCATATCATTAGAACAATCACAGGACCTAAGACATGCTGACTTTCAACGAGGTTGTTGAAATCCCTGTAACATAAACTTTTTGTTAATAGTCTGCCTTGATTTAAAAACTAATCGTACTTTAAGTACAAGGGGTATTCTAAAGATAATGACTTAATCAATTATTATTCATTGGCCTTCTTTTTGTCCTTGCCCTTCAAGGTTCTCATTCTTTGCTTTGAACCACTTTTTTTTCATTTTTCATACTCTTTAATAGGGACGCCCATGAAATACTGATAAACTGCAGACCCAAAGGTATTATGTGATATGTATATTTTTCCGGATAGGTGAAATTACAGTTTGAGGAAGTGGTACGGGCTTAGCAGAAAACAGGGTGAGATGTTTTGGGGCGACGACTTTCGTAATATTTCTTCAGTTGTTTCTTTTTAATAAATAATAGCATTCATTAAGAGGTTATCAGTGATTGTTTTGCATTCTGGCACAGAAATGTGCATGACAAGCCTTTATTATAAATGAAAATAACATATAAAACCTTCACATTTCGTAATCCATCGGCAATCCTAGGACATTTGCATTTTTTAAATGGATTTTGTTAGAACTCTTAGTTTTGTCTCAAAATAGAATACCCAGGTCTCATCACCAAATTTTATCAAAAGCCTTTTCTGTATAGTTTGGATATTATTTTAAGAATTTCTTTGCGTTTTCAACACGGACCTTTTTTTGTTCATTACAAAGTAAATGAGATATCCACCTAGCATTTCCATTTTAAAGCTTTAGATTTTTTTTATAAATGCCAATGCATGAAAACCTGCTAACGACAAGTTTGTCATCCGATCAAAAAGTCGCAAAGATTACTAGTATCTTGCCTCTTTTGGCACGGATCTCTACGATGTTGTTATTGGTCGTTACTGTTGCAGGGCGACCTTTGTGAGCAGCATCTTTGAGTTATTCGTAACCTGTTTTAACTTAAGCAACCCAACTACAAACAGACATATGAGACATTTTGACCATTCCTATAGCTATGTAAAACCTCACGATGAATATCTACGAAAGTTATGTCCAATAAGGACCTTCCGTTTATATAGGCCTTAATTGCAAGTACATCGTTTTGAATACACTATAAAGCAATCTACCCTGAAGCTGTGCGAGTGACATTGTTTCTTCCAAGTTTTCTTCCACTAGAGTTTATGCCAATGTGGTTTCAGTGAGATATTTACACAATTTTCACTCAAAGGTGAAATACTGTGAAATCACAAATTTTCGTGGAGGTTTAATTTTCGTTGTTTTCGAGGTATGAAGAGACCCACGAATTCATGTCTACCAAACGTAAAAAAAATGTTACATACAAAATTACTCAACAATTCTATATCCACGAAATCAAATCCCCACGAACCAAAAGTTTTTCCTGAAACCACGAAAATTTGACCCCCACGAAAAGATGTGATTTTACAGTATGACATTATGTTTGGAATTTTCATTCCTCTTATACTTCTTAGGATCGAATAAGCATAGGAAAAAAAACCACAAGAATATCAGCAGTCTCGTTGTAAGTCATCATTTCGCAAGTACTATGGTCGATATTAGGCCATTTCAAGTTTTTTTCTCTGTTTAGCGTCCACCCATCTTTCAAAAACCTACCTACCTATTCGAAAAAACACAAAAAACACACAAGCCAAAACATAAAACACAGGCTTAAAAGTCATAAAAATAACGCCCTTCAAATTATTTGATCTAACTAAACTGCTTTAATAGAAGAAATATCCATTCTTAAGCAAAAACAAGGGATTAAATGCTTAAAAACATCTAATATAACTTACTGTATAGAATTATTTGAAGAAATTGACAAAATTCAAAAATTTCGACTAAATTAATCAATTTCAGGACTCCTGATGTTGTGTGTTTTTTCCTATATGGGGTGTCAAAAACCAAGCCGCACGCGGACGCTTAACATAGAAAAAAAACTTTGAATGGCCTTATGACCTTGTCAGCAAATTCAGTTTATCATTGAGCCAAATGGTGACTTACGTTTTTCATACTTATTGTTAGTCCATTATTTATGCACTGAATTGAGACGGATTTTTCTGTTATTTCCCGATCATGATAAGGAGAACACCGCGGATGTGACCGGTTGGCAGGGGATGCTCACTCCTTCATGGCACCTGATCCCACCTCTGATGTTTTGGAGGTCTGTGTTAAACTTTGCTCTGCTCCAATTTTGCATTGTTTTATGGACTTTTTATCTTGAATACTTTTCGTTATCTCCATATGTTTCATTACTAGAAAAAGACGTTAATGGTAATCAAAGTCAAATGCTGACTGACGTTTTTCATACTAACTAGGTTATTATTTCAGTTTTTTTCACACTGTATTTATCGACGGATTTGCCTGATTATGACAAGGGGCACACGACTTGCCTGATCCGTCAGCAAGGGATGTTTACTCCACCTGATCCCACCTTCCATGTTTTAGCTTATAACTAATGCAATATCGACTTATTGTTACAGGTTTTGACTTTTTAGTTTATTTGGTTTAGATATAAAATATTTTTTTTCCACGTTCTAGCGGCTAAAAAACGAATATAAACGAGTGATTAAGTATATCACTATACTGAGTGCTTTTATTTCTAATTTAATGACCCATAAGGCTAAGCCTGAAATTTAGATTTTATTTTGAAAGATCTACTTCTCCTTGATCTGTGCCTGAAAATTTAGAAAAAAAAATTAGGACATTTTTATAAATACATGTAATTACATTACATCAGTATTGATGCAAATAATGTTTTCTTACATAAATTAAATAAATTACATAAAAATAAACCAAATCTACCAATGGGTTCAATAAATCAACTGATACCTATCCTCGATGATAATTTAGCTTCCAAATTTCCTTCAGGACTGGGCACTGTATCTTTAATTTCGAGCTCTGTTTTCGGGTCGATAGGCGGAAGACGAGCACTACAGAGTCTGTCTGCGATTACTGCTCCCATAACAACAGAAGTAGCATTGTTGGTTGATCTAAACCTGTCACTATAAAAGATATTTTTTCTAATACAGTCCCTGTTTTATGATGTATTGATGAGTAAGGATAGGGGCCAAAATTTTATCTTCGTATATTTCATGTAACCAGTACATGTTTTTCAAGATTAACACATATGTCTATGATTTTTTTAAAGCATGAAGAACAATCTCCATTAATGATTTGCTGGGTATAATTTATTCGAAGGATAATTCTATGAATTACACACTGGTGAAATTTGTCATGAAAATATTAATTGTTGCCTCGATTTTATATTTTATCCACCGTAAAAGAGCTTATAATGAGTTCGGAAAAATGAAAACAAAACAGACACGTGTAAATTTGGCGTGGAAATTAAAAAAAAGTCTTGTGAATATACTGTGAGAAGTTTTTTTATTTTGAAAGTCAAATACATAAGACACAAGTTTTTCTCCCAGAAAATCAATTTCAAATTCTTTGGTAAAAATTACGATACTTACTCATACCATTCCAGCGCCATCAACAAACCAATGTTGGTTACGTCAATGTTGAGTGAAGATAGGATAATCAACACAGTGACGATGCCCGCTGATGGAATTGACGGAATGGCAAGGGAGCTTACTGTAGTCAACAACCTGTAATGGTTGACTCTTAGTGTCAGTGGTCCACAATAAATGAAACAAAATTAGATTGAAAGTTATAATAATATATAGCAGACATATTGAACTAAATCGGTAAGTATTACCTCACTCAATTTCACTAACCAAATAGTGTTTTTATTTCAAGTACAAAGGTTTTCAGCTGACTACAAACTCGTTTTAGATTTGATATATGTCTTTCTTATGTCATACATATAGCAGGAACAGTCTGAATTGGTCTACAAATATATACAAGACATAGCAAAATTTTTATTTCTACCAAATATTTCTGCTATACATATGGTATGACCACCAAGATGGCGGCCAACGGGAAATTATTCTTGTTAATTTGGGTCTAGAAAACCCCCTTACATAAATTCATCATTTCTAGAATAGAAAGGACAGACACACAATTACTGAGTATCTTATTGCCTGCACGTGTTTTTTTTAGCGCACATTTTTTGCTAGTGGCACGGATTTTGCCATTATCGAAATCGTGAGAAATTCTTTTATCCACATGTAGCTAAAAAATCGCTTCCACTAAAATATTTTTTCTATATTTAACAAGAGTTCTGGCATTCCGATTGCTCTGTAGATGGAATATAATAAAAATTTATAAATTTCTAAATTTCTATTTTATAAATCTTCTTTGAATGTGTTTATAAATATTTTAAAATATTAAGTTTTCGAACAACTCTGATCACTTTGGAATTCAAATTTAGTTTGGCTTATTCTGTCTATAATCCGACAGATTTCAGAAACATTTATATAAATTGTGACAATTAAATTCTTTGAGATTTACTTTATCGGAATTTTGTTCTAACAAATTAAGAGACATTAGAATACAAACGAAGAAATAAGAGTACAAACTAACGAGCTGGCTACTGCAAACACAGTCATCCATGCTCTCAGTGATACAGCAATGTAATACAGAGGGTTCTTCCTCGTGAACAGGAAGTACAGTAGAGGTATAACACCGAGGAGATGCAGCCCCATCCCGACAGACAGGGCCAGCACATACATTCCCAGGCTGTTGAATACCGTTTCCAGGTTGGATACTTTTAAGATGGCGGACGCAATAAGACTAGTCACTCCAATTGGTGTCAACCTAAAGAACAGGACAAAAAATGTTACTAAGGAACGTGGCGTAACATGACTATTAGTAAAGTAGGACTGTAGGGGTCTTTTTATGATTTAGATCCAGGTTTATACATACATAATAATCCAGTTGAGGGCTATAATAACGAGATGAGAGACGGCGTAGAAGAAATCCAAGAAAGGTTTGACCATATTCCCAAGCTTGCTGGCGGCGATTCCGAATAAAGTAGAAACAACGATCAGACCTGTAATATGGTATTTTTCCATAGAAGATTTTACTTTTTAGCATATAAGCCATGGGGAATGAATTTCACAATACAATACCCTAAACCTTGACACATGTAACCTAATATATTGACTCCTGCAGCATTGGTTATTTCTTTTCTCTTGGTTGTAGTGGTCACATTAAGGTCTGTCGTTGTCTTTGTTATATACGTTATCGTTTGTGTCTGTGTTCAAACAAAAAGGATTTAAATGATTATATACAAATTATCTACATGATAAGTTAGTTTTCCGTTATAAACATTAATGAAAAAAATTCAGTACGTTCATTAGGGTGGGTTTGAACTGCGTGTATTTTAACAAATGAATGTGGAAGATGGCATACTGAGTATCTTTATATCGTGTATACGTATACCTTCTGAAAGCATGCTGTTACCACATTTTCCGGAAAAAGATTCCTGAAAGTGAAATGAAGCCATACTTTTTGTCTTGGATACTTCTTAAGGATGTTTCTGTTCAATTTTGTGAGATTTATCTTGTGTCGAAATAGAAATTAAAAAATAACTCTTCCAAATGGCAATATTCTTATGAAAACTATAATTTTTTCTATGACGTCTTCTTGTCTGACGTACAAATCTTTTCCTGCTACTGCTATTTGACAGTGTCAATCAACTATATAAATGAATCTTTCTGAGAGAGAAAAAAACAGCGAGAAATTCATTACATATCTTTAATTATGAATAATGGACTTATCAATGTGTCTTATTTTAATATTTTGTAATTCTGATTTTTTTTAAACACGGGTACAAACCTTATCATATCAGCAAACATATCACTTGTTTCCACTTTTGTTGTAGTGACGGATACAGTTCTGTCTGGAGAAATGTCATTTGTAATTCCCTCTCCTGTTTATAAAGAAGTTGTGATTTGAGTAAGAATTAAACTAACATGCATGGTTCAGGTAGGTTTACTCTACAGATAATGCTTAGAACAAATCAACAAAATTACATGTAATTGGAAAAATATGCAAAGACTACAGCGGGAATACCACTACAAGACTGGAAAAAAAGCATCTACTGATAAATACTAGTATATCTGGTGTATGAAACATATGGATATTTATCAATATATGGTCAAAATGGTCTAGGTCTGCGATGCTTTATATCCTTACATTAATTGACTTTTAAGAGCTAACTCAAAGAAAACATCCACACTGAATGAAACTATTAAAATTAATAATACATTTTTAAAGAAACTTTCATAATGCTTGTATAATATAGAAAACAATATGAAAAAGCTCAAGGTAACGAACTGTAAACCTACAAAAAATATAGGCCTGTGAACCCAACAAATATCCAAAGATGGAATCAGGAGCCTAGGATTTACAAATATCCCCTGTCGACCGTCCTCACCTGCTGTGAGCTCTATGTATTGAAAGGATAGACGAAACATTCCGTCCTAAGAAGTATTAAACACATGCCTTACAAATGATGTAAGATATGCATCAAAACTAATACGACAAAATGTTAGATGTATTTGCTAAAAAAAAAAAAGCCAATACGACTAAAATTTACAAAATGCCGAATTTAATTAAAGGAGGTTGTTGAAATCACTGTAACATAAACTTATTTATCAGTAGCTAGTCTGATCATGCTCAGAGCAACCGAACACACTGTTATAACTTTAGTCGGGAAACAATAGAAGTTAACTAGATTCTTGTTGCTATAGCAACAAAAAGGTCTTTCGTTCTTCTCTATTAATCTGGTATGGAATTTATAATGATGCATAATTGACACAAAGGTTTGCATGAAAATTGGTAGATCCTACACGCGTATGAATATCTACAATTTGTGTATATATCTGAAAAATCTTAAAAGTACAGGATGATTATAATAAATAACACAATTTTATACAAACAGTTTCAGTGAAAAATACAATAGCAAGAAACAGTAGGTCACCAATATCCAACTACATTAGATTTTCCGCAACTGTCATATACAGGTGATAGAGGAATATTACTAAATGAAAATGAAAAAAGGTCATTAAGGTTAATATCAGTCATAGCTGTTTATATACGAGTGCGTTATCTCTATACCCATTTCTTTGTACTATAATTTTGCTATTTTATAAATATCACTTTCTTGATATTACACATGTATCAATAAAAACTTAGTTCTTCTAATTTAAGTCAAGTGCTCTTGATAACTTCATAATTCTCAAGACGAGTTAATATATTATGCTAATATATTATTTACAAATACTGTTTAAAAATAAGAAACTCACCTGGTGTAAATATAAAGTACATGATAATTCCAAGAAGGGCACCAAAAGCGTTAATGATAAGTACGTAGGCGAACGTTATGCTGGTGATACGCCCATTAGACTTTGGGTCGATGGAGGCAGTGCCTGAAATGACAAAGACATTGCTCTGATTCAAGGTGAAAAAAGTACATGTTACTTGTTCACATGAACAATTTTATATTTTCATATTTCTATATTTACATTCATTTTTGTCCGCGAAAAAAAATTCAAGATTAGTTAGCTGACTTTAAGCTACAGTACAAATAAAAGGCCCTAACTAAAATATACACTTGTTTACATCAGAATTACCTGTTATAATGGTGGACACTATCAGAGGTAGAATGGTCATCTTGAGTAGCCTCATGTACACCTCACCAGGTAGACCTGTGTCATAAAATTAACCTGCTTAATTCCATAATATTATAATCAATGTCACATAAAGATTTACCTTGTTATTTTCAAATTCTAGATACTACTGTTCTGTATTTTTTTTCGAAAAAATTAAAGATCTTCAAATGAAATAAGAAATACATCGACTATTGCTTCCAAACCTTTTAATTACAAAAAAATTTACATGGCCTGGATATCGAGTATCTGAAACATAGCCCTCCATCGTGTTCATATTCTTCTTAACCCTATAACTATAGTCCTGCTGGACACGTTATTACAGGTCGTAAATATAGTTTATAATGAAGACCTTATCGTGCCAACGCCTGCCGCTGACACGGGGCATCGGTTTTTAAGGTCTCATCCGAAGGACCCGCAACTTTCACTTCAAAGTGCCGAGCGCATGGCGAAGGAACAGCTGCTACCCATTTTATCGACTGGGTCAGTCGCGGCCGAGATACGAACTCACGACCTCCCGATCACGAAGCGAGCGCTCGCATGTTTATAATATATTTATTTTATATGTTAATTAAATGTTTATGATTGAAATGGCTGCTAAGTTTGTTGTATAGGTACTGTGTTTTTTTTTGTTTTTTTTTTCCTTGTTTTTTTTTTCTTGTTTGTTTTTTGTGTTTGTTTGTTTTTTGGTTTTTTTGTTTTTTTGGCATGCCAAATTTTGATGAAGTATGTCTATCGGAACATACATGTAAAATATTTATTTTCACAAAAATATGTTTCTTTCATTTAGAAAATTTTTCAGTATATGTATACTTAGTATAATGCATATTTATTGTGCGTACTAGTATATAATGTTTCTTTTTTTGTGTGTAAAGATGGTAAATAAAACTTTGCAAAAATAGAAAGTCTATTTACATACATTTATTTTTTTATAGAATGTATAGACTGTAATTTTTAAAACTATGTTTTTATGTTAAATGTTCATGCTGTATGCATGGTATTTTTGTATAGATAGAATGTTCATCCAAAATAGAGGAGGTTTAAAAGTCAACCTAAAAATGAAGAATGGAAAGAGTCCCGGCATAGATAGCATCAATGCGGAGCTACTAAAAAAGAGCTTATCATATTCAACACCAGAGCTTACAAATTTATTCAAAAGAATCATGTGTGAGCAGGAAATACAATCAGACTGGAAGAGATCGCTTATTGTCAAAATACCTCAGAAAGGAAATCTGACAATTAATATGTGGCAACTATAGAGGAATATCATTGTTATCAGTGCCATCTAAAGTATTCTCAGAATAGTGATTGGCAGAATTAGAGATGGACTAGAGGACAGACGAAGACCAGAGCAAGCAGCATATGCTAAGAGGAGCGTCAGAGGAGCGTCAGAACAGATTTAAATTCTAAGCGATATTTTCGAACAATCTAAAGAATGGCACGCACCACTGTACATAAGTTTGATAGACTTTAAGAACCCTCTCTACACTGCACACTAAAGAATTCTGATTCAATGGTATTTTTTTGCAGTTAGAGTGATCTGCCCTTAGATCTAAATTCTTAAAATTAGAAATTCACAGTTTATTACACAATTTGTAATCAATTCAGGTATTCTTAACATTTTAAAAGGCCAAGATAAATTAATTGAACATGTTATTTACATGTATTTTCTCTATGGAAGTAAACAACAGTGATTTCTATTCACTGATACTGTTTTGTGTTTGATTATTTTTCCTGGGGGTAAATGCCACGCACCATATGTTAAAAATCATATAAATAAGCTCATTACTAACACCTTTATAGAATATATTTTTCTCAATATCCAAAAAACATTTTGTACTGGTGTAGAGAGGGTCCTTAAAAAGCCTTTGAAAGCATAATAAGAGAGAAACTGTTGGGCATACTAAGGCAGTATGGAATTCCTGGTGTATATGTGGACATCATCAAACATTATATGATGAAAGTTCTAGTTTTGTCATAGAGAATGGAAGAATAACAGACTCGTTCAAAGTACAGACAGGTATGGGACAAGATTTTGTTAAGTCTGGGTTTCTGTTCATCATTGTGATAACTGGATGATAAGAAATACCAACAATACTAAGAGAGGCATACGTTGGAAATTAATGTCCGACTTAGAAGACCTGGATTACGAAGACGACCTTGCACTTCTAGCAAATACAGCGGCAGGCAAGAAAAGACGAGGAGATTGCATGATGTCGCTCAATATACAGGCCTAAAAATTAATGTTGACAAAACAAAAAGCATGAGAATAAATGGGAAGAAGAAGGATACCATCAGGTTAAATGATAAAGAAATAGAAGAGTTCGAAACATTTCTCTCCCTGAGTGCCACAATGGACAAGACCGGAGAAACTGAGGCAGATATTGGAAGAAGGCTAGGCTTAGCCAGGACCGCCTCTGCATCCCTTCCCAAAATATGAAAGTCAGCATAATACAGAACAAAGACCAAAATTAAGATCTTCAACACAAATGTTTTATCTGTGTTGCTGTATTGCGCTGAACTATGGAGAGCAACAGAAAAAGACGACGAAAAGCTTGATACATTCCATCGAAAATACCTTAGGAGGATCTTAAAAATACACTGACCTGAGAATATAACTAACCAACAACTGTATGAAAGAACAAGATCCATACAACTACGAAGTACCATTTGTTTAGTTTGAAACATATTTTATTGTATAAATACTATACATGTACAAATGGTTTGAACGCAAGTTCTAACAACGTACGAGGTTCTCACCAAGGACCATTAAAGGAAAGAAATGGAGATAGATAGGCCACTCACATGTTAGAACAGCTCTCACATGGGTCCCTGAGGGAAAGAGACGAAGGGGATCTGGCGACGCTTTGTTGAAAGAGAAAGAGAAGAACTGGGTTGGAACAGTTGGAAGAAGGGGCAGGTTTTTGCCAGTGACCGCCGCAAGTGGCGTTCTATGTTGAACGGCCTCTTGCGCTATATGGGGCAAGAAGATGAGAAGTAAATATTTCCATTTCTAATTTTTGTCTCTGTGGTAACTCTTTAATAATTAGCGGAGTTGATTTCTTGATAATTCTACCGGAATGTAAATTAGGCAGGTCGATAGGTCAGGAGCTAAAATGGCCTTATATGAATGCAGATCTCGTGCGCATCTGTCTCTGTGTCTGATGCTAAGGAGACCAAATATAGCTGTAAATCTCGTGCAACCGCCTTTGTGTTTGACGTTAGAGGGTGAGGACTACTGTAATTGGCATGGGAGTCCTTGTGTAATCTATGTCTACATTTTTAAAGTCTAAATCTACAATTTTATTTCACAATGAAATGGAAATATAAGGAATCGCTGTCTAGTTAGTATAACTAGAGACATCAACAATAGTGTGAAACATTGGATAATTTATACATAACGGGCTTCGCCCTTTATGCAAATTATCCCATGTTTCCCACTATTGTTAATGCCCTGACATACCACACTGACTAGACAATGATTCCTTAATTAAGTAAGTTAGTAGAATGTTCATCATTTATATAGGCAGCCTGTGTAATTGCATAGTTGATATTAGATTTATATACATCATATGATTATTTATATAGAGAAATGTAGCACGTTTTTGTATAGATAACACTATATATTTATTTATTATTGATCGCATATATGTTTATTTGTATATTTAGTTTGTTTTTGTAAATAAAGTAAGATTATTAACATAGATTTGTATATTGTTATGTTATTATATATATTATTATTATTATTATTATGAATAGATAGTACATGTATGTTTATTTTGTGTAGTTTGTTATAGTTTATAATGAATAGATAGTATGTTTATAAAGTACTATAGACAAAATATCCTCATAAGAATTAAAGATAGGTAAAACTCAATTGTATCTAGATTCAATTCTTTTTCTGTAATTGAAAATAATGAAAGATCCACCTGACAGCGACTTGAAGACGGATAGAACTGTACACAGTATTTTTATTGGGAGTAGTTATAGTCGGTATCTAAATAATTAAAGATATATTCAATTCAAGTGTACTTATCTTAAAATCCATTATACATGTACCTATCTTTAATCAATTGATCAATTGTACCTATCTTCAAATCAATTGTTCCTATCTTCAAATCAATCGTATACCTATCTTCAAATCAACTAAACCTATCTTCAAATCAATTGTACCTATCTTCAAATTAGTTAAATCTATCTTCAAATCAATTGTACCTATCTTCAATTCAATTAACTCTTTCTTCAAATCAATCGTATACCTATCTTCAAATCAATTAAACCTATCTTCAATTCAATTGTATCTATCTTCAGATCAATTAAACATATCTTCAAATCAAATTGTACCTATCTTCAAATAAATTAAATCAATCTTCAAATCAATTGTATACCTATCTTCAAATCAATTAAACTTATCTTCAATTCAATTGTATCTATCTTCAAATCAATTAAACATATCTTCAAATCAAATTGTACCTATCTTCAAATCAATTAAAGAGGCAGAGGTATAATTGATTTCACCTATATATTTAAATACAGATATTTGAATTGAAGTTAGGTACAATTGATTTGAAGATAGGTACAATTAATTGAAGATATGTACAAATATTTAAATATGTTAATTTGACGTTCCATAGTCGCCTGCACAGCAAGGTTACTTGTCTGTTCATGCGCCTGTTCATGTCACATCTTATATCCCATGCTGGGAACTATATATAGGATGTGTGGAATTGATATGTCGCTATAAATTACCATGAACTTTTACTTGATTTTCCCCTACAGTATAATTCGTTATCCTCTATTTTATGAACTAATATGAAATGTGCTAGAGTTGATTCAATATTTTTTTGAAAGTTTGAGATCAGAACCTGGAAACTATTTAATACCTTATTGTTCACTGGAAAACGGAGGCTCATCAGAATGTCTTAGATTTTATCTCAACATTATCATGTATATACACTGCAGCATGTTTTTATACGATAAATTGGGAGCTAAACAAAAAGTTGGTGACCAAGACTTTTCGAGAAATGAAAATTTCCATAACAAATTTCACAGCAAAAAGACCTTTCTTTTGATAGATTGAGCGGAGAGTCTTAGATCGGGTCTGCAAAACGTTCAACGTACAACTTATGCATGAAATCAAATCAATGTTGGTTTTTTTCTTTTCAGATAGTAATGCATGCATTTGTAGATAATTTAACTTGTTTTGTTTTTCGTTTTATTCCAGGTCATGCCCAAACAGCATTGTACAGATAACTGCGTTCTACGTGCATAAAAATATATTGAAGATTAAGCATACCTATCCACAAAATTGCATCTTCTGAAGGCTTGTGTTTCCTGAGACCGAATCCCAGTCCGAGACCCAACCCGATCCCAACCAGCACAAACAGGAGGAGGGCATTCGTCCGCAGGCAGCTGAGCGCGGGTTGGCGAGGGGTTTCAGACATCTTGGTAAACGACCCACAATGCTCAGTTACTGCACTCAGATGTAATGGGAGATTAATGAACGCATGGTGAGACGTTTTGTATTTCCACTATGTCTTTTATCGCTGCATCAACCTTAATTAAGCGTAACTTAAATAAGTAGTACAATTTGAAGCAGACGCATATGTATACAAATCTGGTTTTCGTGTACTAATTTTTTTTTATTATTGTGCATAATATATGCATTTTTAAAAATCAATACTTTTTATATTAATTTGTTTAGTTTATAAATCATTTTTTTTAATAAGAGAAAAGAAGTTAAAAGCATATGATTATATTTGGCCACAAAAATGGGACGTTTAATGCCCTAGAGCATCAATGAACATGATGAAGTGAGAGCGGATATAAACGTTATGCATGAATTTTGATTGCTTGATTCCGCAGTGAATAAAACGTATGTGTGGAACTAGTACTCTAATCCTCTGAATTTAGGGACTCATTGGTAAACAAAAAATACCTGTGTAAATACTATCTGTAAGTATATAAGTCCATAGACGGTACATGCACAGTGATCAAAATACTACTTCTTTGAAAATCTATATATTTTTTTAACGAAATAAAATTAATTTGCTTAATATTCGATTCATTTACTTTAGTTATTTCACCTAATAAGTTAATATTCTCATACATTAACGGAGCATGTATTTTTAAAACAACCGTTCAACAAGAGGTCCAGCCGTCTTGGACATGACAGTTCCGTTTATCATATTTTTTTGCTCGAGGTATGATCCTGTATAAGAAATTTTTAGATATGGGACGAACCCTAGTAAGCCTCACACTAATTATTTACACAATAAACTGTCTGTCCTGTAGATGTCTTGAGAATTAAAATTGTTTTCCCTCTCTTAGCACAACTCTGGGGTGGGGACACTGGAATTTTGGTTTTTGAAAATTTTATAAAGCTACATGTATATTCATTGTAATATCGTCTTATCAGTTTTCCTTCAAAATTTGACATTAAATTATTATATTTTTTCTAGAAAAAACATTTTCTTGACGTACTTAATTTTAAACGCATGCTCCTTTCTCTGAAATGAACCATGGATTACGGGTTATTTTTGTTAAAGAGGTAGATTCGTTATAATCATGGATACGAAATGTCTGCTACAGTTCCACGAATACAAAAATATTCTTCAAAAATGTAATACCAGAGGGACATGACATTCTAAATTTTGTCAAAATACTCGTATCACACCATCATATATATTGTCTACCCGAAGTTTGCAAGAAAAGAATAAGAATTTCAAGTGTATAATGAAGTTTTAAATGTTTTAATATCTGCTCAATTAACCCTTAAACAGCGGAACTAGAAGGCAGCAGTTTTACAGTATTTGTCAATGTTTATAAATACTCGTTAAAATTTGCAATGGCTAAAATTTCAATGCTGATCGATATACCCTATCTTTATTGGATGCTCAATCCTTCATGGCACATGATCCCACCTCTGATGTTTGTGGGTCCGTGTTTGCTCCGCTCCTGTTTTGTATTGTTTTATGGACTTTTGAGCTTGAATAATGTTCGTTAACTTCATATATATCATTCATAAACTTCATAAAAATCTTTTCAGTTGATTTTTATTATAACTTCTATTTTAAAAATTCTATTTACTTCTTCAATAAATTTGGATTCTATAATGCTTATTAAACTATATTAAAACTCCTTAATGAAATTCCACACCGAAAACATTAAGTGAGGAACTATATTTTGTGACGTAAGGTTTTTTTTTTAGAAGAAAAAGATCAAATTTTTCTCTTTTGAAGTATTCAGTATTGATTAGTTTGGATTCCTACTTTTACATTCAGCCTGAATTGGATCAAAACTGTGTTTGATCCAGTAATCTATTTGAATAAAAAAATATTACAGAGGATACTATGAAAATGATTTATATATTCGATGTTATTATTATTGTGCAAAGAAAGTCATACTAATTGCTACGTAGTGCGAAACCAAGGGCACTGGCCCCCATGTTTTGTTTTGATTTTTCATAAAGCTATATGTGTAGATTCTAAAAATATACTTGACAAAAATTTCTCAATACTTTTGTGCACAGTAGCCAACCTCCTTAACAGAGAAACATTGCAAAAATATTCTACTGAGCCACTGTCTTTACTACTTACCAAGATGTTAACTGCTATTGAGGAAAATTTCAGACATACTGTGCTACAGCTTATTCTAGAATTGGTGTAAATCAAGTAGATGCTCAAAAACTCCAAAGAACTCATACGTAGAAAATATAACATTACCATTTTTTAAAACAAAATAAGTAACACAAAAACTGACGATTTTGTACAAGTTTATACAACCAGTCTTCGCGATAAATTACAAACTAGGCTTTTTGATTTTATAATATAGACAACCGCTTTTACAAAAAAAAATGTAAATCGGAAATTCCCTTATATTAAGTTTTAAAAGATCACTCTGATGCTATGCATTCTATACACAGGTACTCTGGAGTTGACACTAAAAGGTTGCTGGAGTACCTCATTGACAAAATTTATGAAGTCTTTGGAGACTAGGTCTTCAAACAAACTGTTGGAATTCCGAGAGACGCTAAACGACTTGTTCATATATTCATGTGAAGCAGAATTTATTAAAAAACAAACTTCTACATGAGAAGAGGAAAAAACTTATCGTAGGCCTTCAGCTCGACATATAGATATATTAACTATATATTATTAATTTTAAATTCTTACTTGCATTCATTTAATTATACATGTATGACGATTATGCACAGAGTCTCCCACAACTGTTTTATATTTGAATTTTATATTTGAATGATTTACTAAGATTTATTGGTTTAACAATAAAGCCGTTTATTTTTAGCATGAATCATAATTATGTGCTTATTCCGGAATTAATTTTTCTTTCCGGAAAATTTACGTAAATTGGCTCTAGTAATAGAGTACTTCCTTTTCCCATGATTCAGCAACTGCAGAAACAGACGATAGGCATATTAGATAAAAAAATCTTCCAAGTAAAAAGAAAACAGGCACAATAGTAAAAAATATTGCCGACATAATGCCGAAAGTAAAAAAATCGAAACGGATTGCCGAGAAAAGGGGACGGATGACCGAAGTTGAAAGAGCAAAAGAGACGAACGATCAGCCTAGCAGAGGGAAAACCACTGTCAGGACGGTGAACGAGGCCGAGGGCATCTTGACCCCAAGCGTGGAATCTCCGCAGACCCCAATCGATCAAGGACAGGACAAAGAATCGGGTACGGTAAAAACCATTGGAATATTAAATGAACATTCAGATGTTCCAAAGATTGTTGTTAGCTATGAAAACCCGTTAGGGTTAAATGTTTCACAAGAAGTAAAGAACAAAATTATCAACGGTCAATATGTAGACCTGGCAAAGATGTTAGGAAACGCAAATGATATTCAAAAACAAGCTATTGTCATGGTAAATGGTGAACTCCAAACAAGTGATAAGAACATGAAAAAAATCAACAACATAGAGCAATGGACGGATGCGTTCATCATTTATTCAAGTATATATTTAGAGGCGCATCCGTCCAAGGCTTTAGACATGTTAAAATATATGAATGATGTTCGCTTAGGAGCAGCAAGGTCACCAGGTTTAGGGTTTAAGGAGTATGATCAGCAATTCAGATTAAAAATGGCAAAAAACCCATCAGGGTCCTGGGGGGTAGTTGACCCTGAGTTATGGCTATTGTACATCACGCCTACCTCTAAATTCATGACTGCTGAGGCACAAAACCAGAGTCAGACATTTAGAAAATGTTACACATACAACTATCAAGGATCTTGTTTCAAGGCACCTTGTAGTTATGCCCACTCTTGTCTCAAATGCAATGCCCCACATCCCGTAATATTTTGCTCAAGGAAAGAACAAAATAACGCATTTAAAGACCATGCATTTCGAGGTCAAAATAACTACAGAGGCTCAAGAGGACAGTACCAAAATATTGGGGGAAGAGGGGGATCCCATAACAAATGGAATAGAGCAAACAATTAATAATATATGGAAACTAGGCCATACTCCAGTCAAAGTTCAAAATTTGAAACCTCTTTTAAAAGAATATCCAGAAAGGGGGGTGGCAAATCAATTATTAGAAGGTTTTCAGTTTGGGTTTAGAATTGGTTATCAGGGCCCAAGATTAGGAGGCGAATCAAAGAATCTGAAATCAGTTTTGCAGTTCCCAGATAAGGCTAAAGAAAAAATAAATAGTGAAGTAAAACTAGGTAGAATTGCAGGACCGTTTCTCAACAAACCAATATCTAATTTGAAAATCTCACCAATAGGTATAGTTCCAAAATCAGAAGGAAGCTGGAGGTTAATAACACATCTTTCTTATCCAGAAAACAATAGTGTGAATCATTTTATAGATCCTTATGATTGCACAGTAGCATACACCTCACTAGATCAGGTATTACAGGAAGTTGCTCGCTTAGGGAAAGGCACATTCTTGGCAAAAATGGACATAAAATCAGCATTTAGGTTAATGATAATAAATCCAGGAGACTTTGACTTGCTAGGTTTTAAGTTTGAGGGAAGTTATTACATTGATAAATGCCTGCCAATGGGTTGTGCTATGTCATGTAAGTTGTTTGAAAAGTTTTCAACATTCTTACACTGGGAATTGCAGAAACGGGTCGGAATCGATACAATTTTTCATTATTTAGATGATTTCCTTTTTTTGGGCTCCTCAGGTACTGAAGAGTGTGCACAGTTGATGCAAGGGTTTAACAATTTGTGTCAAGAAATAGGAGTTCCCATAGCTCAAGAAAAAACAGTGGGCCCCTGTACAAAAATAATTTTTCTGGGTTTAGAAATAGATACAATAGAAATGGTGGTAAGAATACCACAGGAAAAAGTTCAAATATTAACAGCCTTACTTACATCAACTTTACTTAAAAAATCACTCCAACTTCAAGAAGTACAAAGTTTAGTTGGTAGCTTAAATTTTTTCAGCAAAGGGGTTCCAAATGCTAGGGCATTCAATAGGCGTTTTTATGAAGCCACTTGTGGAATTACAAAACCCCATCACCATATAAAATTAACTCAAGAATTTAAACAAGATGTACAGATGTGGCTAGTATTCTTAGAGAGTTTTAATGGGGTTCGGCTTATTCATGAAAGAGAGTGGCTAAGCAGTGACAATATTGAGCTTTTCACTGACAGCTCTGGAAATCCTGAGTTAGGTTGTGGAGCATACTGTAAGGGTCACTGGGTTTACTGGCCATGGCCACATGATTGGGATAGCTCAATTTTTAGAGAAATGTCATATCTAGAACTAATACCGATACTATTGGCCATTTTTCTATGGGGGGAAAAATGTTTTGCAAACAAAAAAATCATTATGTATATTGACAACAGTGCATTAGTTACGATTGTCAACAGACAGTCATCAAAATCAAAACAGATTATGCTGCTCATAAGAAAAATGGTTCTTTTGCTTCTGAAGTACAATGTCATCTTTAAAGCTCAACATATAATGGGTAAACAAAATAATATAGCAGATTCTTTATCTCGTAAACAGTTTCATCGCTTCAGACAACTAGCACCAGGGGCAGACAAGTATCCAGAGAGAATACCAGAGGAATTTCTTGTTTTGATGTCAGAGAAGAAGTAAACAAATTACTGCAGCTTGCAACAGCAAATAATACACAACAAACTTACAAACAAGGGTTGACTTGTTTTGACGAATTTCGAGTTAATTTTAACTTTGAAAAGCTGTGGCCACCTACATTAGAGCAAATTGTTCATTTCATAGGTTACATGTCAGTAAAGGGTTTGGGGGAATCAACAGCAAGGACTTATATATCAGGAATTGCATTCTATCTCAAGCTTCATGATCATGCAGATGTAACCCAGAATTTTATGGTTAAAAAGCTTTTAGAAGGGTACAGGAGAAAGTCAAAGAAAAAAGATGGCAGATTACCAATAACTGTAAACATTCTAGAGAGCATATTGAAAGTATTGCCCATTGTTTGCATTAATGATTATGAAGCAAAACTGTTTGCTGCAGCTTACAGTGTGGCCTTCTTTGGGTATTTTAGAGTGGGGGAAATCACTGAAGGGAAAAAACAAACTGTAGGTCATGCTGTTCAGTATGAAAACCTTGAAATGTTAATTAATGAAAATATAATGAAAATATACCTCAAGCACTCCAAAACTGACCAAAGGGGAGAGGGGGCAACAGTCGTCATAGAAAATAGTCAAGCAATGACCAGTATAAGGCCAGTGGAAATTATGGCAAGCTATTTGACTGTAAGACCTATCAAGCAAGGGAATTTATTTTGTCATTTTGGGGGTCAAGCACTCACACGGATTCAATTCACATCAGTTTTAAGCAAAGCATTAAAGGTAATTGGATTGGACAGTAGTAGATACAAATCACATTCATTCAGAATAGGGGCAGCCACTAATTCAGCCATGTTAGGTATGTCTGAAGATGAAATCTGTAAAGCCGGTAGGTGGAAATCAAAATCTTACAAATTGTACATCAGAATATAATGATCATGTTCACTTTAACTTGAATTTAAGAGTCATGGTTAGTTCAAAATGTTATTTCAGAGTTTCAAGTCTGGGTGGTTGGGTCCTCAATAGTCAAAAGAGCATTTGTTGCAGCCAGGAATAGGCCAGGTGGAGTATGTCTAGGACTTCAAAGGCTAAGTATAAATATATGGTGGCAAGGAAAAGGGGGCATGGTATGGTCCGAGTTGTACAAGAAAATTAAATCATTGTTAAAAGTAAATGACAGTCCACATTACCTGATTTTACATTGTGGTGGTAATGATATTGGCAACATATCTTTCAGAATTCTTATTCAAATCTTTAAAAGAACTTTGGAAAAGATTCAGTTATTATTACCCAATACAAAGATAATTTGGTCTCAGTTATTACCAAGAAGAAACTGGAGATATTCAGAAAATATTGATGCAATGAATAAAACTGTAAAAAGGTTGAATAGCTCCATTGCAGCAGCAGTGGTACAGAATGGGGGAGGTTACATCAAATATCTAGACATAAATTCCAAGGATGCATTACTTTTTGAAAGTGACGGGGTTCATTTATCCCAAACAGGAAATGAAATATTTTTGAATACAATTTGTGCTGCAATTGAACAATTTAAAGGTGCAGGGATACTTGTTTACCCTAAAATCTATTAGGCAACAGTGCAGTGGCATGGTCTTGGCATTAGGAACTAACCGCTTCCCCCACTTGGTGGCGGTGGCTGCCATGGCCACATGGTGCATGTGGCCACTGTTGCCATGTGGAAGAATGCGCGGGTTGTTCCTATTAAAAGAACTTTGTATACTAATTAAAGATGTACATTTTACATCACTTGATACTCAATTTGAAGTGTCACATTTTTGTCTCAGGTTGCCGCCGTGCACCGGAATCTGAGTTTTGAACTTTATTTTCTGCATTTGTTTGCAATGACTGAATTTGGACATGTATATATATGTATATTTCAAAATTATTGAGCAATTTGCTAGCTGTAATATTTTGCAAATTGGTTCTTTGCCGTTTACCGGAAGGAATTAATTTGCACATATATATTATTTAGTTATTTGTAGTTTTCAGGCAATGATGTGTTTTTGACCTATACCAATTTGGTGTCAATGCACAAATGGCATTTCCATTGTAAAAATATTTTGTAATGAACATTCAGTAAAATTACATTAATTTTACTCATTGCCTAAAAAGCCAAGACCAAGAATTGCCACTTTGGGGGGTGGAATAAAAGAATAAATGTTCAGTAATAAATTTGTGAATTTTAATATCTGGTGTTTTTTCTCATGAGGGCATGTTGGAAAAGGATGGATTGGACTTGTGGAGTTTTTGAGTCAGCTCTGATATTGGTGTAGGATTCTGTCTACAAATAATAAGATTTATTGGTTTAACAATAAAGCCGTTTATTTTTAGCATGAATCATAATTATGTGCTTATTCCGGAATTAATTTTTCTTTCCGGAAAATTTACGTAAATCGGCTCTAGTAATAGAGTACTTCCTTTTCCCATGATTCAGCAACTGCAGAAACAGACGATAGGCATATTAGATAAAAAATCTTCCCCCTCCCTCCCATGTTCCCTTGTTATTTAAGAATTTTTACTGCGCTTTAATCCTGTATTTCAGATTTTGACTTGTCATGGAAAATTCGGAAAATGGAGAAGTAGGAAAATTTTCAAAGAACATCAGTGGATAGAGGATATCAGTGAAATTTGATAAGGACCAATGGACAAAAAACTTCATTGTGAATGACTCTCAATGATCAGTGAGGAGTTGGTGAAAAATTGTGTTAAAACAAAGATTTCTCTGGTGAAAAACAGTGTAGGCAAAGTTCAATTTATTTGCAGATAATGTGTTTGAGATAAACTATGATCGGATATTCTTCATATAGACAGACTAAATGAAAAACAGTCTTGGCAAAGATTGGACTAAAAGAATGGAAGAATGCGCGGGTTGTTCCTATTAAAAGAACTTTGTATACTAATTAAAGATGTACATTTTACATCACTTGATACTCAATTTGAAGTGTCACATTTTTGTCTCAGGTTGCCGCCATGCACCGGAATCTGAGTTTTGAACTTTATTTTCTGCATTTGTTTGCAATGACTGAATTTGGACATGTATATATATGTATATTTCAAAATTATTGAGCAATTTGCTAGCTGTAATATTTTGCAAATTGGTTCTTTGCCGTTTACCGGAAGGAATTAATTTGCACATATATATTATTTAGTTATTTGTAGTTTTCAGGCAATGATGTGTTTTTGACCTATACCAATTTGGTGTCAATGCACAAATGGCATTTCCATTGTAAAAATATTTTGTAATGAACATTCAGTAAAATTACATTAATTTTACTCATTGCCTAAAAAGCCAAGACCAAGAATTGCCACTTTGGGGGGTGGAATAAAAGAATAAATGTTCAGTAATAAATTTGTGAATTTTAATATCTGGTGTTTTTTCTCATGAGGGCATGTTGGAAAAGGATGGATTGGACTTGTGGAGTTTTTGAGTCAGCTCTGATATTGGTGTAGGATTCTGTCTACAAATAATGACTACAGACGATTAGGGCCAACTAGAAAATAAATTATATAAGAAACAATATGACTTCAACTATTCTACGTCAAAATAATGATTTTGTTAGCAATTGATAGACCTTTGTTTCTACATAAAATAAAATAAGTCGTATGAGAAATGAAAGTCAGACAAATTCTTTTAATTTACACCTCCTGATGAAGAGCGGGAGCGATTAAGGAAGTTCCTTACTTTTACGGATCCGGTTTTAATTTTTACACGCCAATATAGAATTCTGTTTATAATAGTGTCATTGTGCATACTAAGCATTTAACATAATTATTTATGGAAATTAATACATTGCACTCCATCCATAGAATCTATTTTTTAACAAACTATTTTGAGATCTATTTTTGTTTAATTTAAACCTATATCATCTTTTTAAATTTTACATTTTTAAAAAGTTTTCAAATAATATCGAAAAATTTATATTCCAAAACTGAGGGTATACGTGTTCAAAAGGCTGTTTTGTTAAACTTATCTGGTCGACCATAATAAAGTATGTATTTTTTTTAACTTGCGATATCATTCATATTAAAGAACTTTATTCGGTAATAACCAATATTTGCCCCCCAAACCAAACTTTGATGGAGATATATTTAATTAAGTTCTCAAACAGGGGAGTATATGCTGACTTCAAAGCACTGAATATTTTCATAAGTAATGACGCCATATGTACGTAATGACGTCACAAACATGACGTAAATTTCAGTTTTTTATGAATTTTACAGAAAAATGTACATATTTTGTCGATATTTTGAGTAAAAGTCACCGAGCGCATGTGTGTTCAGGATCAATATTTTGATATAATGTGTAAAATGATAATATCAATGAAATATGTATGTCAATATTGTTCCTGAACAAACTTGCGCTCTATAAATTTTAAAGCTAAAATTGTTGAAATTTTGTCCATTTTGTCCTCTTTCTGAAAAAGGATATAAAATCGGACTAGTTTGTGACGTCATAAAAACAAAAATTGTGAATACACTGCTTTGACACTATATTATTTTCTGTTAATTTATATTTCTCATACAATTTATTAAATTCAGCACATTTCAGGAAGTTTTCAAAATATGACTTTTGTGGGGGCAAATATATGCAATATACCGCATATAGTTCTTTATAGAAAAATGGCGTGTAAACAGTTTAGACTTTGAAAACTCTTAAAAATAAAGATATTTTAAGATATTTTTTTTTTTTGGAAATATGTGGACAGATTCAACATCTATTTGTTAATGTTTTCCAATAAAGATTTCAAATATTCTCTTGGCAAATAAATATTTTTGATTTTCATAAGTTTTATCATAAATTTGAAGTGATTTGGTGCATGGCTAAATAAAATATGATATCACATTTCCTTATGTTAAATTTTGGCTGTTGAATATTTAGAGGTATATACTTTGAGACACACTGTATGAAAATTTACATGTATTTTATGGGTTTTAGTTAGTTTATGACTTATTTAAAGTATTCAAATTAAAAAAATATCAGTTTGACAGAAAATTTTGGAAGTACAAGTATCAACCTACCTTATAGGAAGAGATTGGGACATCATATGCTAATCTACTTTATAAGTCTATTGTGATGGTGAAAAAATAGAAAAGTATTATTGCTAGTATAAGCAGGCAAGTAAATAAATCTACTTTCAGAGTTGTTGGTTTTTCGTTGAATGTCCTATTTCTCTTTTTTTATATGAGAAACTTCTCTTTCTGTATTAATTTATTTCACTTCATCATATAATCATCACTGTTGAACCACACGCAGGAAATTGAATTGGTCTCATTCCGTCTAATGTATTCACTCAACTTATTCTAGAGCATGAACACAGATAAAAAAAAAAGTAATAAGAACAACGATGTGTAACGACTTGCGATAACATGACACATCTAGCGTATATTTATTCTCATAGCTCTCGTAGGCTGCTAGTACATAATCCCACGAATAATATATAATTTTCGAGCAGGTTCATAAAACCGATTCAGTTGCATCTTTCGATCTGTCTTGGGGCAGTCAGGCTATAGTTCTGATCTCAATAATTTATCACACAAAAAATGTGATAATAAACTTATATACAAAGAGAACCTGAAAAGAATTTAACAATTACAAAGCATCTCTCTCACAGATGTACTGATAATCTCTCTTGTCACAGGGTTCATCACACCAAGTGCGACCGTAGGGGACGTAGAGACACAGACAGTCCTGATTATTGTAGTTGTTTGGTTGGTTGTGCGAGACATCCCAATCACTGTATGTCAGGAGTGAGTTAGTGTGTGCCCATCGCCATTGACCCTCGACCTCACGATCAGTGGCACCTAACCAAACACTCACTTTGATGGAAAAAGAAATACAACGTTAGAGTAGACGATCAGTGGCGCCTAAGCAAACACTCGCCTTGATGGAAAATAGAAATGCAACGTTAGAGTAGACAACCATCAAGCTAGACAGGTACACTCGCAATTTGGGAAAAAGCAATAAAAATTACTCTTAAGAGTTAATGAAATAAATATTTATAATAAAAAAGCACCTGAAAAATTTATAAGCATCTAGCCAAACACTTGCGTTTTTGGAAATAAAAATAATTATCGTTAAAAAAATTACAACCATCTAGCAAAACACATGCTTTTTTAGAAATAAAAATGTTTGAAAAAAATCACTTTCTACAATGTACACACTCTGTTTGTTTGTTTATTTGTTGAACGTCCATAATCATAAATAAGTACTTATTCCGTTTCAATAAATCACTAATATACATTTTATCCGATGTTTGACACCAGTTGTCACCCTCAAAATAAATCTGCCATTTTTTTCTGTTCGCGATCGATAAAGAAACTTTTATATGTAGAAAAAAATTAATCAAAATTTTTCCCTAAATAAATTAAAATAAACGATGTGTAAAATTTCCATTCATTATTTAACTTAAACATTCCATTTAAGGATCTCATCAAAGTAATTGGAATATAACTTTAGAGAATTTATTCTTAACATCTCCTTCATTTCTTTTTACTAACCTGTTAATTTTTGAGCAAGCATGCGAACGAAGTTATTCTCGCTTGAAGACTCGATCTCAACAAGTTTTGCTCCAATCTTTTCACATTCTTCCTATTAAATCAAAGAATTACAAATAAGCAGTTACAAAACAGAAAAAAAGAAAATTATTCGAAAAATAAAAAACATGTACATTATAACTTGAGGATGATAAGGTGATATTAGTATTATATAATATGTATTCTAACGTTCAAAAATAATTATCATAATAAAAAAAATTAGAATAAGTTCCTTCTACATAGCTATGTTCTAATGTACTAATAATTATGTACTTTGTATAATATAAATTGCAAAAACTAATGAGCACAGCCTTGAATTGCCACTGAATATCTTAACACTAATCATCGAAAAATGGATTGATAAACGAGAGAGGCAGAGCATCAGCCGCAGATCAGAGTTTTTTATCACGGAACATGAGAAGAGTTTTCAAACGGTAGCAGAACTTGGTTGACTGATAATGAGAGTCGTGACCTTACAGATGTTACAAAAGGGGTCAGTGCTTCCTTTACAAAAATATTTACCGTTTTGGCAGCTTCTAATCATGATATATATCCCCTCCGTTATCTCTGACGTATTTAAAAGTAAGTTTATACAGTTCAATTTTCTAGAAAGTAAATTTTCTCCTAAATTATCGGTTAAGTTTCATCTGGTGAGGCCGAAATCGCATCGTTTACGTTTTGACTTGGTGGAAACAGCAGTTTAAGAGAGCATATGTCATTTTTCGTCAGACATTATGCTGAAGAAAGGTTCCGAGTTTCCTAATTTTCTGCATACATCTATGCGAAACACAATACTATCACCTTGATTACTCAGCAACATTACGATATCATTCATTGATAAACTATTTCTTTTTTAAAATGAAAAAAAAGATATGCAGATTGATAACTGAACTGGAGCCGTATGTTTTGGACAAGATGTGTTGTTCCCGTATGGCAGTTTTTAAAGAGGGTTGAATTTTCTCAAATGCAAGTAAAACTCCAAGGTCAGGGTCAAAGTTATTGGTATTCAAAGAAGGATCTTAACACACGGAATATACCTGTGAAAAATGAAAGCCCTAGTACTAACTGTTCAAAAGATATGGCGGGTCAACCTTTAGGTAAAGGTAATAAGGTCACAATATTTATACCTATTGAAAGATCTTGTCACAATATGGATCATTAAAGGCCTAGCACCAAATGCTCAAACGTCATGAGCAAAGTTAAAGTCTGAAAATTTTTAGTATAAGTGGGTCAGACTCAAAGGTCAAGGTTAGGAGGTCAAATTCGGTGGTCCCCAAAGAAAGGTCTTGCCATTTGTCCGCAAAATCGTTAATCTTGTCCATATCTTTTGAGTGGGTGGGGCTATGGCTTTCATATTCCACAGATGTATCCCTTGTGACATGACCTTTCTTCAGGTACCACCAATTTTGACTTCTTGACCATGGAATTTTTGCCCACTTTTTCAACAACAAAAAAAATACAAGACAAGACCTTTCAATGGTATTTAAATATTTCTGATCTTTTTACCTCAACATTAGGGTAGTCCGATCCCCAGGTTTATATACATTTAATTAGCAGCTAAGTAATCAAAATTACTCATAAAAGTATCTCTAAATCCCCAAAGTTATGTAAATTTATCCACAGTATTTCTAGAAAGTTAAAAATTAAAGTTAATCATATTATATAGGGAAAATTGTCAAATCTCCAATAATTTTGCAGAAAAGGCGAATTGGAATATCAGCAATGCATTTTCTAATTGCAAGTTGATCAACAAATATAATTATTTTAGGTTAAAAAACGATAAATATCCAGGCATTCAGAGAAATTGCTATGATTTTTATACTTATTTGGTATTTTTCCTCTTCTATTTCCGTCATGTATTCTATAATATATAGTGTAAAAGGCTTTTGCTTTCATTGCAAGACACCACACAGATCACTTCTTATTTCACATCATGCTAATAAACATTGGTATCTATAAGGCTGGATTCAAGAAAATCTTATTTCTAAAAAGCTGTATTAATATTTTTTTCTTTTATAGGGTACAAATATCAACTTTTATAAGAATTTTTCTAAGACTTCCAAAAACCTTGAATTTATAAAGATTAATAGAATGAAAATTGTTGCATGAAAAAATTTGATTTTCAAGCTTCATTTTGATGGATTTCAAATAAAATATTAATTTTTGGAGTTATCCTTCCTGGCTGAGGATCGGATATCCTTAAAATTTGATCCGCCTCTTAAAGACTTTTTATCTTGGCCATAACTTTTGAACAGTTAGTACAGGAGTTATATATATCACAGATGTCTTCCTTATGACAAAACCTACCTTTGGATACCAACAATTTTGACATTTTGACTTGACTTGAAGCTTACCTTGCATTAGAGAAACATAAACCATCCCCATTAGCTGCCATACGGGAGTATCAGTGTTTTACAAACACTTTTTGTTTGTTTTTGAATTACCCGGCTAATTTTGAAAGTCTTTATACTAAATAATTCTTGCAACATCCTTTCTTCGCATAGAAATGCATAGTTGTTAAATTTATATAACCTCGCATATAATAAAAATAACAATCTAAGAGGGAAAAGATGAAGCCTATTTTGTCGCTGATTTTTTTGTTGAATTATTCAAACTTTGGAAACATACAAGAAGCTAAGTTCAACAGTTTACAGAAAATTTTAGAGCATCTTACGATTGCAGTCGACCATTTGACTTTCTGCTTTCCTAACCAATATTCTGAGTCTCCAAATCGTGTCCATCCTAGAGAGCAAAGACCAACAATTATACATGTAACAAAATTCAAGAACAAATTTGTGAAGAAAAAAATTAATACAACAGTCTTGATGTTTTGTCTCTTACAAAATGAGAAATTGAAGAAAAAACTGCACGTACATCGATATAAAGATTTTGTTTTCAAATATTTGCAATAGAGTAAAATTAATTAAACTTGGCGCGTTACCTATCAATATGTGATAGGGAAAATAATTCCATATAAAGCGATAACAAATAATATGGGCACCAGAAAAAAGGCATGTCCCAAATCTACATTCTTCATAAATTAGACCTCATTTGACGGCAATGATCCGTACTTTGGTTACTATTGTTAAATATTTTAGCAGTTACATTGGAAGCCTTGCCTCTACACTTAATCTTTCATAAAATAGACAAAAACTTTGAAATAAGAGTTTCCTTCTTTATCTTTTAAAAGATAAAATGTTAAACTCAATTGAAAAAGGCAAAATTATCTGAATGTGTATTACTATATATGTAAAGATTTTTACCTCTAGAATATATATAAGCTTACTAATTTAAACATTTATATATTTCTATCCAAATTTCACGGAGATGGATTAGATTTAATTTGAATATTAAATAAACAGTATAGTTATGTTATATAATTTAAAATTAGGTTTATGGAAAATCAAAAAGTGTGCATACATGTATATATATAACAATTAAAAGTCATTCTCTGTAACCACTTAAATTTCTTTGCCACGCATGTTCATCGATTTTGATGAAACTTCACCCATTATTAGTATTTGACACCAGAAACATTTAGCAAATAAAATTTCTTTACTATGTGTCTCAGTTGCCATGGTAACAGCCGGAAAAATGGGTTTAAAATTGAGATTTTCAGCCACTTTAAATCTTTACTGAGCCTTAGTAAAAACATTTAGGAAAAGCAAACAAACCATTCTCACAAAAACATGACACATTACTGCCACTTATGCTCTAAGAGAAACTTTTAAGAATACATCTCTAAGCAAGTGGTAACTATAATCCATATCAACCGATTTTTGTTAGTTAAGGATATCAAAGACTTTTATCATAGAGAGTTTGGAGAAATTCTGAGACTAAGCATACCGAAGCTCCTATATAAAATTTTAAGTCATTACAGAGAATGCTCGTAATTATACACTCAGTCATTACCTGCCGAGAGATGAGATGTAATTTTCAGCAGTTGGCTGCTACTTGCATTTTGTTCTAGGCGAATAGTTTCCATTGTTTCATTGAACACGGTCCAAAACTTCTGCAGAGTACCATCAATTACTTGTAGGTATTTGTCGCTGTCTCCATTGACAGGAATAGTCTGAAATACTTTCTGCAATCTTGCGTTTTCTTCTTCCAGTTTTTGGTTTTTAGTTTCCAGTGCATTCAGTTTCTTGTTTATGTCAATCATATTCCTCTTGCAAGCTTGGACATCGTTTTTATTATCAATGACATCCATTGTCAAACTTTGAATTTTTTGCACCATTGACAATCGCACCAAGCTTTCCTTATTCAGAATATCCAGAAAGAGGTCTTTTCCAGTCGTGGCACTTGACATCATTTTATTGGATTGTTTTTCTGGTAGAGTCTCACCAAAGGTCTCGAATAAAATCGAGAGAAAACAGAGCAAATGTAAAATATGAAAATACCCCATTATTTTATCAATAACGCAAGATATCTCTGCTAGTGATATGTGTGAAATATCTATTAATGCGCTCTCAACTTCATTTACAAGTAAGTGAAAAGGCAATATCCAAATTATAAACGAACAATGACGTAGCAAGCAGAATTTTACGTCAATCAAGTTGATTGATTCAATTCAGAACTTGGCCTCTGGTGTAGAAAGTTTTATATTTAGAATATTGCTAAAAACATGTACTTCAAGTGGAAAAAAGGTTCGAATGGCTCAGAATCTATTATATCTCCTTTGACCTCTTCTTAGGTCATCTAAATCTTTCGAGTAACACTAATTAATTACTAAGTAATTATAATAAAAACAGGCACTGGCTTTTCGTATCATCAGTTTGCATGTATTTTTAATGTTTCGATCGCCCTGGTTATCGTAATCAACATGAAATGATCCGTATTTCCTTTGTAAATAAAGTAATCTTATTTTAATCATTTACACACTCAGTGAGGTTTTCACACGCATAATAGTATGCTTCCTATGAATTAAAATCTGATAGAAAAAAAACAACACAACACAAGGCCGCCACAGGCTTTTTGAGAGATGCATAAGAGTTTTGGAAAGTACACCCTTATCATGTTGTAAATTTTGAATTTTCTAGGGGGGGGGGGGGGGGGGGGTAAATGCAAATTTTACAACACGATAACTTAAATTCTTCTTTGAACCAAGATATTAAATTTCATTTGTTAATTTGTTGATACTTCTTTTATTATGTATGGCAATTCTTTCGAAAATTAAGGAAAACAAATATTCAAAGCATTTCTTTAAATAAAAATAATATAAGAATATTTACTACATAGAATAAGATAGCAATTCTCCCTTTGGCAACCTTCCTTGATAAATTGAAATAAGTAAGTCAATCCTATAAGAATTCTACATGGATAACATTTAATATTAAATTAATCTCCCATTCAATATTATTTGAACTTTTGAAAAGATTTTTATTAAATCATGTCAAATGAAAAAAACTTGAAACTGATAAACGAGAATAAATTGATCTAAAAAAGAAAGAAACACCAATGATTAATTATGTCGTTATATCTGAATGTCAAGACGTGAGTCACAGCAGCTAGGTGTGTTCTTCTTGTGTTGAAGTTTTTGAATTAATTCTGCTTCAATGGTCGGTCAATAAAAAAAAACACTAAGCGCCCACCGAAATTTGTCTTGAGGAACTGGTCTCCAAAGACTATTTATATATATAAAATGTAGATGATGAAATAAGACATCATTTTAATATCAACCCCAGAGTTCCTTATTGAGGAATCTAAGCAAATTTATTGATAACCAATTACAAGTTAAGGATTTTTAAAAAAATATATTTATAAATAGCAGATGTCTATGATTTCATTTAATTAACATTTAGTATTACTATTCGTAGAGTATTTAAGGAAAATGTTGAAGGAAATCATGTCGTTTGCAGGTACCGGTACCACAAAAGTAATTGTGATATTAAAATCTGAATTCATTATTACATCTGGATCTTAAAATTTTAATTAAATAAAAACGAACTTTTTATACACGTGTACTCCTTAAAAATACACGTTTTTTATGGTAGACATGTTTATCCGACTGAAAGCCCACGGTCTGTAACAAACAATGCCTACATTAATTAAATAGTATAATCTGTAATTAAAGCATGGTTAATCGTGATTTCCTTTGCCTCCCGTCAAACACTTCCTCTTAAAAAAAACACCCGATAATAAAAGCTATTCCAGTTATAATGCGCTATTAACTTTTGCATCTTTTTCATCAGGAATAACTTTTAGTTTAACTACAACAGTATGAAACAAATGTACAGTGATTGATCAAATTCTATATGTCAATGTCTGTCGTGACACGGGGCCTCAGTTTAACGTCTCATCCGAAGGACCCGCAACTTTCAACTCAAAGTGCTGAGCGCATTGCGAAGGAACAGTTGCTACCCATCAATTAACGGCTTAGGTCAGCGCGGCCGAGATTCGAACTCACGACCTCCTGATTATGAAGCAAGTGCGCGCTGCAGACTAAGCTACCATGAACGACCGTCAGTTCGATTCATGGCCGCAACTGACCTAATTCGATAAAAACAAGAGGCCCAAGGGCCTTAAATCGCTCTTCAGATAAATTACTGTAAACGTATTACATTTGGCTGTGTATTCTTTTTAGCGCCTTTGGCGGAGAGAAACTCACGCTAAATTCAGGTACACGCTAAATGTCTTGACCATATATACATAAATAGGAACATTAGAAATTGCGCTAAATCAAATTAAATATTACTTTTCATAGAGTATTTAAGGAAAATGTTGAAGTAAAACATGTCATTTGCAGGTACTAGAAACACAAAAGTAAATGTGATATCAAAATCTTAATTCATTATTAGATCCGGATCATAAAATTTTAATTTAAAAAAAGGAACTTTTTATACGTAAATGGACTCCTTAAAAATACACGTTTTATTGAATCGTAGTCTAGACATGTTTATCCGACTGAAAACAAGGTCTGTAACAAACAATGCCTACATTAATTAAATTGTATAATCTGTAATTAAAGCATGGTTACATGAAAACGTGATTTCCTTTGCTTCCCGTCAAACACTTTCGTCTTCAAAAACACCCGATGATAAAAGCTATTCCAGAAGATATCTATTGATTATTATAATGCGCTATTAACTTTTGCATCTTTTTCATTAGGAATAACTCAATTTAACTACAACAGTATGAAACAAATGTACAGTGACTGATCAAATTCTATATGACGATTTTGACTGAAAACTGACCATGAAAAACCCCATATTCGATCTTTGTGTCAGTCATCATACGTGATTGATTGTATGTTGTTTTACTCCCATTCGAGAATTATTTACTCATTTAAAGACGTTACCATACACCGGTGAAGGGCTTCAAATTTCTCAGCACTTGGGGCTATTGAGCAGTGCCTCTTTAGATCGTGCCAACGTTGGTCGTGACACGGGGCCTCAGTTTAACGTCTCATCCGAAGGGCCTGCAACTTTCAATTCAAAGTGCTGAGCGCATTGCGAAGAAACAGTTGTTACCCATCAATTATCGACTTAGGTCAGCGCGGCCGAGATTAGGACTCACGACCTCCTGATTAAGAAGCAAGTGCGCGCCGCCGACTGAGCTACCATGAACGATCGTCAGTTCGATTCATGGCCGCAACTGACTTAATTCGATAAAAACAAGAGGCCCAAGGGCCTTAAATCGCTCTTCAGTACATAAACTATCACTATGTATAATGCGCTCGATACTTTGAACTGAAAGTGGCGGGTTCTTCGGATGAGTCCTTAAAAATTGAAGCGTTGGCACAATAAAGATCCCTCACTGTTCAATGGCCCCGAATGCCAAGTGAAGGTGTAAGTTTCAAGTCCTTCACCAGTCAATATGATGACGTTTCTGTAGTAGTGAAAAATTCTCGAATGGGATGTTATGCAATATACTTAAGGAATCACTGTCTAGTTAGTATAGTATGTCAGGGCATCAACGATACTGGGAAACATGGGATAATTTGCATATCGGGCTTCGCCCGTTTTGCATAAATTATCCCATGTCTCCCACTATCGTTAATGTCCTTGGCATACTATACTAACTAGACAGTGATTCCTTATATTTCCATTTCATTGGAAATAAAATTTTAGATTTAGATTTTAAAAATGTAGACGTAGATTTAAATTACACGAGGACTCCCATGTCAGTTTTAAAAGTCCTCGCCCACGGACGTCAAACACAAAGGCAGCCGCACGAGTTTTGTATGCATATTTGGCCTTCTTAGCGTCAGACACAAAGACAGATGCGCACGAGATTGTCATGCATATTAGGCCTCCTTAGCTCCTGACCTATTGACCTGCCTAATTTACATTCCGGTAGAATGATCAAGATATCAACTCCGCTAACTTTCAAAGAGTTATCACAGAGACAAAAATTAGAAATGGAAATATTTAGACTTTAAGAATGTAGACATATATTTAAATTACACGAGGACTCCCATGCCAATTTTAAATAGTCCTCGGCCAGTGACGTCAAACACAACGGCAACCGCACGAGATTTACATGCATATTTGACCTCCTTAGCGTCAGACACAGAGACCGATTTGCATGTATATTAGGCCTCCTCAACTCCTTACCTATCGACCTGCCTATTTATAATTTACATTCCTGATAAATTGATGATAAATGATAAATTGTATTTGCTGACAAGTTCTTGTATCGATCATAGAACTTGCAAAATGACTTTAAACGAGACTGCTGATATTCTTGTTTCATCAACTTGTTTGTCAATAATTACCTCGTTCTTGATTAATTATGTCGTCGTTATATCTGAATGTCAAGACGTGAGTCACAGCAGCTACGTGTGTTCTTCTTCTTGTGTTGAAGTTTGTGAATAAATTCTGCTTCAATGGTCGGTCAATAAAAAAGCACACTTAGCGCCCACCGAAATTTCAAAAATCGTCTTTAGGAACAGGTCTCCAAAGACTATATAAATTGTCAATGAGGAAATAAGACATCATTTGAATATCAACCTCCGAGTTCCTGTTTGAGGAATCTGAGCAAATTTATTGATGACTAATTAAATTTAAGGATTTTTAAAAAAATCTTTATAAGTAGCAGTTGTCTATGATTTCATTTAATTAACATTTAATATTACTTTTCATAGAGTATTTAAGGAAAATGTTGAAGGAAAACATGTCGTTTGCAGGTACTAGTACCACAAAAGTAAATGTGATATTAAAATCTTAATTCGTTATTAGATCTGGATCATAAAATTTTAATTTAAAAAACACGAACATTTTATACGTACTCTTTAAAAAATACACGTTTTATTGAATCGTAGACGTGTTTATCCGACTGAAAGCCCACAGTCTGTAACAAACAATGCCTACATTAATTAAATTGCATAATCTGTAATTAAAGCATGGTTACATGTAATCGTGATTTCCTTTGCTTCCCGTCAAACACTTCCGTCTTAAAAAACACCCGATGATAAAAGCTATTCCAGAAGATATATATTGATTATTATAATGCGCTATTAACTTTTGCATCTAACATTTAATTTAACTACAACAGTATGAAACAAATG